GGAATAATATATTTTAACATAGGTTTTTATTAAATCTGAACTGAAAGTTGGAGTTATTTACGTAAAGGAAGATCAATATTCCGAGGAACAAATTTTAGAAAACAATGAAAACTCCATTCATTTCGATGAATTTTTAACACTTTTTGGCGATCGCGTGCGGCTACGCGGTTTTGATAAATACAAAGGTGGTCTGGATACAGTACATGATTTAACAGGTAAAAAAGTATTACCGTGATACATTACAAAATTTTAGCATTGATTGAATGACTATCTATTCAAAAATTTTCAGGTCTATATTCAGTTTACACAAATTGGCGTAATATTGAGATAATGTTTCATGTTTCAACTCTCCTGCCATATGAAAAGCATGATCCCCAAAAACTACAGCGTAAAAGACATATTGGTAATGATATAGTTTGCGTAGTTTTTTTGGAGGCTGACAATACAAAATTTAGCCCGGCTTGCATTAAAAGTCACTTTCTACATACCTTCATACTAGTACGTAAGCAACAAAGAAAACAACACATACTTATTTCGTTAGTTTTTCAGGTTCGTGTATCAGCTCGCATTAAGCACAAGCCAACACGCTATGAAGTATCAGTAGTTACACGTGATGAAGTGGGTGCTTACAAACCATATTTATGGGAACAGTCAGTTTTTGAAAAAGGACCAATGTTTCGGTAAGTCATTGAAAGATTTCGAAATTAGTAAGCATTAATAATTTTGAGTATTTTTTTGAAACTAAGGGAATGGTTGTTAACGAAAATAGTTAACGGGGAGCGCGCTTCGTATTCAGCACCGAAATTCGCACGTATGCAGGAACGAACTCGTTCTCAAATGCTGGAAGATTTGGTCATGAATCTATCAAATCACGCGGAAACCGGCCAAATACCGAAGCCTTATCGTAGAGGTTCCTGGCGACCCATTGGTGAGGATGAATATATCAAAATGTTGCATGCAAGAGTTTTAAGAAAGGTTTCAGATACGCAACAAACGTCACCGATGGACGTTGGTGTGTGCTGTGTACATCTCTGTGTGAAGAATAGTATGTAGGGTAACCCTATGAACCCGAAAACTCCTTTCTTTTTATAGGAATGTTTTGACATTGGAGATGTCTTCCATAATTTTACCCACAAATATTAAATTTTTACTTTCTTCATGATAAACTACGGAAGTAAACAATGTATTAAAAGATTGTGCAGTGCTTGACTGTAAGAGTACAATTCCCATTAACTGCTTATTTTTTCAAATAATCAATATTTCTTAAGTATCAAATACTGATTTAATTGTAACTTCTGTTGTGTTTATAAAACAACATCACACAAATTTATTTATTTTTGTTTGATCTGAAGACATCTTCAATGTCTATATTAATTGCTTTTTAGTGTATATATAATACATGTCACATGTTTGCACATTTGTTAAATGTACACATAACCGCTCATCAGCATTATGTTGGTTGTATTTTATAAATAAGTATTGTCAAGACGTATCTAATTTTCAGTGTTGCATTATCTTATGTTCAAACAAATTTTTAAGTTTCATTTGACAAAAAATTTAAATAATTTTTAGTTTTAGCTACGTAAATGCATAAAAAAAAAGTGATCAAATTTATATTATCTGCTTGAACTTAAGATAAAGCAGCAATAATATGAAAATGCGTTTTGTTGGTAAGCATATAACTTGAAAATGGCTGACCCGATTTAGCGCATTTAAAAAAAAGCAATAAAAAATGTGGGCTTCTGCTATGCTGAAGCTGGGATATCATGTAGATATCCCAAATATACCATATGTAGTGTACTAGCTGAATTACATATATAGATAATAAAATATATATAGGTACGACCAAGAACAAACTTAATACAGGGATAGCTAGACATAAACACAGCATTAAAAATAAAAGGACTGTCGAAGCCAATATGACATTGGCTTTATATAATATTGACTGCAAACATGAACCAGGGCCCTGTTGCATCAACACTTTTCACTTTGCACTTTGCACTTTGCAAAACTTATGAGTGACTTTTTTTGCAAAGTAAAAGTGAAAAGCGTTGCACCAAAGACTTAACATGATTTACTTTGCACTTTGCAAATAAAAATTTCATTCCAGTCTTTGCATAAAATGCAAAGCAAAGCGTTGCACCAAAAAATTAGATCACTTTCATTTTGTATTGGTTTTTGAAAGCATTTCGTTTCTGTTTGTACATTTTTTTTTTGTTTGTTTGATATTTTGATGCTATGAGTACATGGTTTATGCATGGTATGTACTTATGAGTTTAATTTTTGTTTAAAATAAAAGTTTTTAAAATAATATTTTATTTTAATAAATTTTATTATTATAATTTCTAATATTTGTATAATTTAGTACAACTATATGTTATACATTAACACACAACACAAAATTTTTGTATATGATTTCTTTTATTGGCATTGAATCGTAGATAAAGAAGTTGTGTATATCCATAGAGACAATTTTTATGCTTTTAATTTATTTTGCAGTTTGAAAAGTTATAAAAAAAGAATTTATATGTAAGGAGTATGAGTTAACAACAATTATATTGAAAAACAAAGTTAACAAATATAATAAGTTGCTTTTATATAAAAATTTAGTTGAAAATATGTCATTATTATTAAATTTTAAAATATTATAAGTTATTATAGTATTGTTTACTTGTCGCTGTGTATTATCCTAATACAAAAGAAACCTACGCATAAAGGGCCTAAATTACTGATTTTATTTAAAACATTTCTCTCAATTTATACAAAATTACCTTAAAACTGACTTAACTAATTTTACTATCAACGTTAAAGAAATATGTTGTCTGTTATCACTAATTTTAATTTTATTTTTAATTACATTTCAAACAAGGTTCAAAAAACGACGCAAGTCCAGACACTTGTAATTTTTTCTTCTATTGTCTTTAGAAATATATTGTTATTATTATAATTAGATACGGATAATTAGATATTTAAAAATGTTACAATGTTAGCTATTATAGGATATTTCTTACCCATGTTTTTTCTTAGTTCATAATTCGGAGAATTTGAACGACAACAGACTTATAATAATAATAAACTGTTCATTATAATAAATAAGTGATCATGCTTGAACAATAATTCACATAAAATATTTATATTAAATGTATTATAAAGTTTTTTTAGAAACTGAACTCTTTAATTCACAATTTAAAAGTATTGTCCGGTAATATATCCCTTTAATTATTGCAACTAAATTTATTTTAAAAACAGCAATAATATTTGTTTAAACTAATTTTCTATTTCTATGTTTTTAAAACTATTTTTATTTATTTATTAATGATTTCCTTCATTTCACGCATTTTGTCTTTTATTAATACACATAAGAAACTTTTCTTTTGTGTAAAGCAATCATTTGCAAAATTTGCAGGGTGAATTAATCATTTATAATTTTTTTGTAAAGCTTTGCAGTTTACTTTTGCAAAGCGCAAAGTAAAAAGTATTGGTGCAACAGAAAATCCAAAAAAACAGGTTTTTTTTGTCAAATATTTCACTTTTCTTTTCATACTTTACTTTTCATTGAAACCAGGGCCCTGTTGCACCAACACTTTTCACTTTGCAAAACTTATGAGTGACTTTTTTTTTGCAAAGTAAAAGTGAAAAGCGTTGCACCAAAGACTTAATATGATTTACTTTGCACTTTGCAAATAAAAATTTCATTGCAGAGTCTTTGCATAAAATGCAAAGCAAAGCGTTGCACCAAAAAATTAGATCACTTTCATTTTGTATTGGTTTTTGAAAGCATTTCGATTCTGTATGTATGTATACTTGTTTTTTGTTTGTTTGATATTTTGATGCTATGAGTACATGATTTATGCATAGTATGTACTTATGAGTTTAATTTTTGTTTAAAATAAAAGTTTTTAAAATAATATTTTATTTTAATAATTTATATTATTACAATTTGTAATATTTGTATAATTTTAGTACAATTATATGTTATACATTAACACAAAACACAAAATTTTTGTATACGATTTCTTTTATTGACATTGAATCGTAGATAAAGAAATTGTGTACCTATTAGTGCTGTTCATATTCGAATTTACGAAGTATTCGAATTTACGAAGTATTCGAAGAATTCGAATATTCGAATAGTAAACGAAGTCTTCAAAGTTGGAAAAAACTTCGAAGCTTTTGTGAATTTTTGTTCTCGAAGACTTCGTAAGCAAAAGGTAAAGTGAGAGCGCAAAATGCAAACAAACATGCATCACACAAATTATTTGAGGGATTATTTGAACATTTGCTTTATTTGTACGGTTTTATGTTTTTTTGTGGTATTTTATGCAGAAATTAAAAATATGTTTTTTTGTTTTGTTAACACATAAAATTTATTTTATGACTAAAAATGTATTATTATATAAGTTATTTGAAGTCGAATCGCGGAGCGTTTTTAAAATAAAACACGTTACCCTTTCGATTGAGAAGTATATCTGATCTCTATTAAATTTTGCTAGTGCGCCGCACTTACAAATTAATTTTATTATTTTACAGAATTTATCATTTTTATTTATTGTTTTAATATAATAGCAATGTCAGCTGCCGTTACAAATTATTTGTGTTTATTCTATAATTTAATTTATTGTTATTGATTAAGTACAATAACAATGCCAACACGCGCTTGCTTTGGGTTCTTTGCACCGTAATGAAATTCGATATTGCGTAAACCGTTGCTGTAATAAAGCGACAATTTTAATTGTGCGCATGGACTGGGTCGCTGACATCGTTGTTACATATTAATGCTGACGCATGGTTAACACTGGTTAACTCTCCCCCTTCTTAAGTTGAAGCGTCATCGTTTCTGTTTCTTAATTGTTGGCCTTGTTATGCCTAATGTCCCTCGACAATAAATGCACACAGATTGAGTAGTTTAAAATTACTAACTTTTCTAGAAAGTTGTTTCTTTATTTATATAAAATTATCTTACAACTAACTTAACTAATTTTCTATCAAGGTTAAAATAATATATTGTCAGTTATTGCTATTTTTAGTGGATTGTATTATTACATTTTATTGTTGTTTGTAAAAAGGTTCAAAATGGGATAAAAGGACGGAAGTCCCGGCACTTGGGATTTTTCCTTCTACCTCTTTTTCACATATATTTTCATAATTGTAATTAGATACGGTTCCTTGTATTCATAATCAGTAATACAATTCATCTATACAAAAGTATTTAAGGAAATAATGGAATTTCCCTTTGGATACTTGAATGATCAACAATGTCCTTTTTAAACAACATCCGGTTGACGATAACATTAGGTTTAAATTATTTATCATTTAAAATAAGCAACATTAAAAGCCGTTTTTGTTGCTTTGTCTATTGGTTTGTAAGACAAACTTAAATTGATAAATATGTGGATCAAATCCACATAACACCTCCGTCCTTAAAGAAAGGCAGTGACAAAGTAATTGTCTTTACTTCTAGAAGCAGATCCTTAATCACAATTGTCCAGAAAAGTCAACATCAACTTGGCCACCAAAAGCTTCCACTCGATAACTTTTGTTTTGTAATATTTTTTACAATTCTAACATATAAATCAACATAAATACAATAAAGTTACAAAAGTATTGTTTTCTATAACATATATCTTAAGTTCTAAAAATTATTGTATATTTTTTTATTTACCATTCATAATTACATTTATTTCCAGTTTTATTTGTTTTAACTGTTACTTCATTATTTGATTTTTTTATTATATACTACAATATTATTCGGCAAACGTTTTAGCGATTCTTTCTTTATATTAAAACATTTATTAAATATATTTATGCATAAACTCCCTTTTATACATTTTATAATAACTATTATTATACTTAGTGTTACATATAAATACTACTTAGATTTAGCTTCGTTAAAAATTCAATTTCTCCAATTCCATTAATTTTTATATTTAAAAAACAATCATCAAGATAATAGTATAAATCTTTTAAAAAATAGTTTCGTTTTTATCCTCTGGTATAATTATTTTATAGTCTACAGTTTCGAACTTGCAACTAAAATCAAAATACAATATACA